ATTGAATACGCCTACTTATGAAATATTCCAGATAATAGGATCCGTCGGAAAAGGCTACTTGTTATTAAATATGTTAACTATAATAGTGATTAATATCTAATAAGCAAATAATAGTTTAATAGTTTATATTTTGGAGCACTCTGAATACAATCTAAACATCAAAATAATTTAAGAGATAGATAAAATTACGCTGGACTGGCAACCACTGATTGAAATTAGTATTAAGGTCGTGTGCGAGTTAGGCTAAGTTGCGTTCTATATGAGGGAAATTCTAAGTTGTGCCGATAATGTAGTGATGTGTCGATACGTGTTGATAAATGGCTAAATGTGTGCAGTCCAAAAAATCCCAAAAAATCTCCCATTTGGTTTAGCATCAACTTAGCCTAACTCGCATACGACCTAAGTACAGGTAAATTCGTTTATGGAAACAATATAAGAAACTCTGAAGCCTACTCCCTAATAGCAGCGAGCAAAGCAAAATTACTCTCAATATGAACATCATTCTGAATGTTGACCCAGCGAATTCACCATGTTTAAACCTAAAATTTGTGAAAACCTCTTATGTTTCTAACTAAATAGCTAAACTGCCACTCAAATTCCAAATTTATGAAGAGAGCAAAGCTGGCTCATCTGACTTTTGAAAATCCCGCACTCCATTTTCACTAAGTACTGAAGCACGGAAAGCATGTTACAACCTTATAAACTGCACACATCGACAGCAGAAATTATTGCAGCAATTTTGTTAGAAAAGGTTGGTTAGAAGCCAATTCAAAGTATCCATGTGATCAACTGACTACTCAATGCTACCCAACAAAAGCATAATGATTGTTCTGTATGTTATGATACCGGATGTGGTACCCTGGTTAGTTACGTTCGTTTTTCAAATATTCATAATTTTTATGTATGTACCTATAATTATTTTGCCATGTTTGTTATTTTTCTATATACAATCTTGACTTCTTCAGTTATGCCCGTTAAGGTAGTGACTTAAACCACTAAAACTTTCGTATGTAGGTGATGTATTTAGGAATCATTTCTTATTTCGGGACGTATTTTTAAATATACTGATCATTATTCGCTTCTTGTAACTGAATACTTTTAAATCTCGCATATCTACCAGTGACAACTATATTGGTATTTAATTTTAAAATGCTTACTGCTGCATTCAATTAAGCATTTATCACTGAAAACACTACTAGAATTTTATTTTTTCTGTTATAAGCTTCTTATTCTTAACTTTTTATAGATTTCACCATTTCTTTCATATTTTGGAGAAATTATCCAATAAAATATTATCGTAGATTTAAAAATGCCATACGATAAAAAAATTAACTGTTCTTCTTAGATAGAGATAAAAATACTTTCTTATATGAAGTCTAGAATAGTATAAAATAATATTTGGAATAGCGGTTTCGAGCAGTAGTGAATCACAACAAAATTTTTCATTCAGCTGTTTCGAGTTTTACCAAATACCCATCATCAGTGGTCTTTTGGAATTATGGTATATCTTATATTTGTTTTTTCGTAAATTAATTTTTTGATATTGGAAGTATCAAGGATTAAACTCGTATCTTGCCCAATTTGAAGCTCAGAGGTAGTGTTCTTAGCCAGCTGATCCACAGCCGACACTGACTCTCGCAATTCTCGCAATCTCAAAAAAAAAAGTTATTTGGGATTAATGAACTCCAAGAAATAATTTCAACACCACTGATGATGGGCATTTGGCAATAGTAAAAGCAGCTATATGGTCAGCCCAAAAATTCAATTATTGTTATTTGTTGTTGTAGTTCACTACTGTTCGAAACCACTCTATATAATATATAGCTTTTTAAAGCTAAAAAAAAAAAACTTTTTTATACTTTCATTAAAAATTCTCTCAAAAGAGTCCCACTGGGTATGTACTATGATGTCCACATCTACTCATCTGTGCGTATACGAGAATATGCTTGCTTCATTAAGCAATAAGAAAGCCAACACAGCAGCATAGGCCAACTGAGGCAGTGGAACTTGCAGGATATAACTAACATTTCATTTTCATTAATATTACGTTTGATTTAATTGCCAGGATACACTTATTAATATGTCAATGCGTAGGAATGTGTAGGAATGTAAACGCTTTATAGGTGAGGTTTAGTCACACAACACGTACAATATTCAATATTTATTTTGATATATGTTTGTATGTGCTTAAACATTTGTAACAAATATATAAACACATATTATGTTATTCTACATGCATAAATATTTATTTGTATTTACAGTTGTTTGCAACATTGTTAGTATGTTCAACTTATAGGCTTTAGTTTTCCAACAAGCCATATTTACCCTATAGATGTGTCTAATCTTGTTGTCCTTTCTAGATGATATCACCGCAATACAATTACTTTCATAGAATTACTTACATATATTTTCCAACAATGTATTATAATTAGGCTTGCAGCAATGATTTTTATCCACACTGCAAAAACGATTATCACGCCCATTAGTAGATCTACAATTGGTATTGTAAAATTGAAACTATTATATATTAAAGTTGCAAAATGAAGGAGGCTACACTGATTATGGCGTCAGTTAGATTGTTACTTTGCACATGATAGGTTTCGGTGAAAAAAATTGCTCAAATTAATTGTGTCTTATCATTTATGATAGCCAAAGTGGAAGAGATTTTTAACTATTTGTTGTCAGGAAATAGATATTTATTGGCAGTATCGGCTGTTGTAAATATTTTATTTAAGAGCATATGACAGCTTATGTATAATTTGAGCAAAATATCTCTGAAAAAAACTTGACCTTTCAAATAAATGTTTGTGAGATCATCTCCTACAAACGCACCCGATGGGTAATGTTTTGTGTCCTAACAAAATTTTTCCCAAATATGCTTTACAAAAACACATGAATCAGATTTTGACAGAAACAAAACTAGGTTTTGTATTTTTTGCAAAAACACTCCAAAGTATGGGATGACGCAACATGCGCTTAAAGTCAATAAACCTCTTACTAAGAAGAGCAATTATTGTTACAATATTTTTTCCCATTACAAAGGAATGATATATGAACAGACAAAATTGCTTTGAATCCATTGTTCTTAAATTATACACAAAAGCGTGACTACAACTTATGTAACCTAATAAGAAATCCTTCAAATGTCAAAAAATTTTTTGAAGTATTATCTGAAAAATGCATCCCAAATTATCTAAAAGTTGTTTAGATTCTTTATTGAGGCGTTGCCACTATGTCTACGAAGTAATCGATATGTTAGGTTATTGGTCAAATTCCAACAAATTTTCGTCGCAACAAAGTTTAGATCACTCTCATAAGTTTAAGTTGTTAAGCGTACCAATGAAGATATTGAGATCAGTAAGAATACAGTTCTCACACATGGAGAACTAATAGTGCTTTTAAAGTTGTCTCCGAAATACGACGGCTTTATTAAAATAAATATATGATGGAATAATGGAAGAACTTTATATCCCTTTTCTGTTGCAAATATCTTCTTTGAGATGGTGGAAAAATTGATAAATCGTTCAGTTGTCCAAAAGGAAATAGTTCAATCCAAGAACGAATTCAAGAAGCTAATACAGAATATTTTTCAATATGAATATCATGTCAGACGAGAATTCATTTCTATATATTCATATCACTTGTGGACATTTAAAAGTGGTTTTTGTTATTATTGTAATTCGAAAAAATCTGCTAGCGTAGTCGCTTTATGGAATGGTAAGTTGTTTAAAATTAGTGGTGGAATCTTAAAACAAGTGGTGGCCACGGAGAATGCAATTCTTCTTATAATAACGATTGACTTGATGAATATAACATGAAATCATTTGACGAATGTGAAGAAACGATGTCTCTTCATCGTCTGATAAAAGAAACTGAAACTATTGTGATGGTGAATTATTTGTGGGGAAGTATAAGAAGCTTTAACATTTATTAAATGTTTACATTATTTTCATATCATTTTTTTATTTCTAGGGAACAACAACTGGAGAAGCTTTATCCAAAGTCAGTGAAAATAACCATCTTGCCACAATTCAAAATGACGGAAGAGGACTGCGAAATAGTCTTGCAGAAACAAGAAGAAAATGGATTGAGGAAAAGCGCAAATTAGAAATAGCTTTTATAAAGCCAAGTATCTCACCAATGGTTCGCAGCGTTCATCCAGTTGAATAAAAATGCTGAGCGAACAATGCAGAATACAGTTGTTCTGCTAGCAAAGCATTATTTCTAAAATACGACAGAATTTTTCTAATTATATTATATTTTCTAAGAACGAAAAACTTACCTGGTGGTCTTATGATTTAGTTCATCTCGTATGTAACTCAAAATTTTTCCTGCAACTTCTTCACTTATGCGAAAACGGCCACGAAAGGACTTGGCGCATGCAATTCGAAGTAATTAGATCGATCTTTCATTTCTTTTGATCGACGCACTAATAAAATAATTTCATAATCGCTTTCGCAATCAGAATTCCAAACCGAGATCATTGAAATAGTTTTTAAATCACGTCTCATTATTTGCCAGTCTTGACTATTCTTTGAATAATATTTAAGATGAATATTGTGTTTATACTATTGGATTATACTTTAAACTGGATTATCACGAGAGTTTTGATTGTAATTCTCAAAAATATTCATGTTGCATTGAAAGCAACAACGATTAACAACTACAAATACGACAGTTAAATTTTAAAATTACATACAAAATTGTAGTGTTAATCTAGTATTACGCATTTTCGGACTTACCTCGATAATATAAGCTCGTACTTAGTTTTTAAGTCTGTTAATTACCTAAATGAGCAAATAATGTGAGTAATATGTGGCAATAATTTATGCAAATACCGAAGAGAAACACAAGAAATTTAAAAAATTAAACTCGAAACGAGACATGTCAAACTACTTACATATATAATTCTAATGGCAGCACCCCAATTGATACTGTTACCAAAGTTTGATCTGGCAACGCTGTCATACATACTTTAGAGAAGTTAAACTGACAGACAAAACTGGCAGTTGTCATTTGAGCTTTTTTCTTGCCAGTTGTCGATTTTTGTTTTGACAAAACTTAAAGATGGAATCAATCGGTAAGTATGTAAAATTAACAATATATATTTCAGATCGGAATAAAATGACAAAACAGAGCACAACTATTATGATTACAATTAAGGCCGATTAGAGGTTTCCTATTTTTTCCATGCATTTAAGTTTTGCTTGTTTTGTAGTTTTATTTTGCATCGGGTATACCACGCAAATCATACCATTTGTTTGGTTTGGTACAGATAATGATAATGGTTGTACGCCTTCTTCAAAAGGACCAAAGCCAATGATGAATGAAACTATGAAAGCACATAATCAAACTTATATTCAGTGCGAAACACCAGAGCCAAATCTGCATACTTCTTCAGTAAAGAAAGGCAGGAATGCACGTCGCATCTTTGTTAGCAATTTACCTGATTGTGTAAATATGTTTAAATTTAAATTTTTCATCAATAAACAAATGCATTTGGGTGGTCTGTCAAAAGAAATTGGAAATCCTGTAATCAGTTGTTACATAAACTGCAGAAGGAAGTTTGCTTTTCTAATCTTCCGATCTGTCGAGGAGGCTGAATCTTCTTTAGACCTCGATGGCGTAGTCTATGAAGGTAAAATTTTAAAAATATGTAGACCACGCAGTTATCGTTTACCACCAGGCGAGATTTCTACTACGCCAATTGTAGCTCCATTGGGTGAGTAATTAAAATTAATTTTATTTTTATATTATTCACTATAGTTAAACTTTATTATAGTTATTAATGGCCTGACATCAACTTTAGTACCCGATTCAGAACATAAAATATTTTTTGGAGGTCTAACAGTTAATGCAAATAACGAAGAGGTATGTCACCCTTATCGTTTTGTGCACTAAACATTTTTGAAGTAACTCTAAAGGAAATCATAGTAAATAACACGGAATTCGGTCTGGTTACCCTTATTAAAGACAATGTGTTAATTTCAATTTTACAATGAAACGGTTTAACATCGATGCACAATTGAGATAAAACACACGGGGTATCGTAGCTCTTGTAAATTTACAATTAGAAAGGCGTCGCCATGCAATATATTAAAAAATTTGTTGCACTTTCAAAACTTTTCAGGGCAAATTGTCTATAAAATATTTAAGAATTATTTTATTACAATGCGTAATAAGGTAGTACTTATTACGCATTATTACTGATAGGAAAAAAAAAGTATCATTATAAAGTCATTATAAAATTTATTTGCAAGATACGAAAATATATTTCATTTTTAAAAATCCTAATTTTACCTATTTATTTCATAACAAATGTATATTAATTTTATTTAAAAGTACAGTCTTTAAAATAATTATTCCTCACTTCACAGATAAAAACCTTATTTCTCAAATTTGGAGACTTAAAAGCTTTCGTTATGATTCAGGGTCTCGTAAATGGTCGCTTGGAGTGTTACGGCCTAGCTGAATATTTGGATCACAGCATTACTGATAAACTCCAAGCTATTACATATGAATTTAATTTTGAATTGTGATATCTTCGTAGGCCATAGTTGCTCTTCATGGTATTATACATGAAAGAAAGAAAATATTTGTTGCTCGATCAAATTGTATAAAGAAGACTAGTAATGAGGAGAACTCTGGTCCACCAACCAGAGTACTCTGTCTTTTGAACGTAGTATCGCGTGATGATCTACGCGATGGACGAATTGATATAGAAATGTTGGAGAGTTGTAAGAAAGTGTGGGAAAGCAACAGAGCAGTACAAAGCGTAGAAATTCTAGTACCTATTGGAGGTGCTTCTGTACCTGGCTGTGGCAAAATTTTTATAGAATTCACAAATGTGAACTTTTGTCAATGCATAAAAAGTTTATTCGATAATATTTATTATGATGTCTCTACTGTCGTAACATCTTATTATGACGTAGATAAATATTATCGCCGTGAATTTTAAGTTACATATTAATAATAATACTTTTATTTTTTTCACATTTTTTTATTTTTATTTTCATTTTTTAAGTTATTTATTTTTCAATTTTTCTCAATATTTTGTTTTTAATTTTTATTTTTAGCTATAAAAATAGTTTTAAAATCACTAATATGCTGATAAAAATTTTATTAATTACCTGATTGACATTTAGTATATTCTACATAAATTGATTGATAAATTTAAGTTGAATGATCGTCCTCCGTAATATCTTACATTAGTCAAGACATATATTATCGTCCCGACATTTTAAGAATGATACTATTTACTTGTATAATTGTTTTAAGTTATTTCATATTATTGTAAGTTATTTTATTATTACCCCTTTTTGAATGTTTTTACTTTAATTATTATTTCTTTTTTAAATTCCAATTTCAGTTCTTATTATAATTTTAAGCTTCATTGTTTTATTTCAAAATTGACGATATCAATAAGCTAATAATCCAAAAACGGCCAGCTTTGGGCAATAGGAGACGAATTGTGCGCCATGAGGACAACGCCAAGCCACGCACATCTATAATGACTTACCAAAAGCTATGGAAGCTTAGGTGGGAGTTTCTTATGCATCCATCTTAGTGTCCAGATCTGACACTAAGTAATTACCATCTATTCCTGTCCTTGGCAAACGATATATGTTCCACTATGAAATTAAATTAAATAAGCATGAAGTGGGTCCTCTTACAACTATACTTATACATATAGTCTACACATAAAATATATATGAAATTTTCACTTGAATAGTTTCTCACTAAACTCTGCTCTTAATTCTACATTTTCAACGGCATCTCTTATATCTTCCTGGGATAGATATTTTAAGACTTTCTATGGTAGTCCCTCTTCCAAAGGTTGAAATTTGTATAATGATATAATACTACTAACACAGAAGATAACGTCTAGCATCCATACGTCCAGCACTCATCAAGTTATTTATATTTGATGAGCAGATATTTGTCATATCTATGTTATAGACATCTCTCAAATAAATATTTTTATGTGCATTTCAAATATTATAAGCGATATTTTCGAAGTTTTTCATATTCAATTAAAAATCATATCAAGAATATTTAAATAAAATTTAAAATATTAAATCCAAAGTTTTTCTTTTATTTAGAGTGTGTGTATGTGATATTTTTAAGTATATTATTATAATTCTCACTATGTTTATCGCAAGAATTTTTTAAACTTAAAAAATCTGATTTGCTCATGGTATTGGTTTGGAATAACTATTAATGCCCGGAATATTTAATTAATTAACCTTTATTTAATATTTAATTAATTAATTGTAATTAACCTTTCATTAATCAAATTATTAATTTGCGTTTTCAGTTTGTCGTAAGTTTATTTCTCTTTCATACATACAAAACAGCTGTAGTAAGTTTTCAGAATTATAAGATGGTAATTTTACCTACAATGTCCTGTCAAAATTTCTTTTAAGAATTTAATTGTTTTATTTAATTGTATACAATCCTTTAAATCGGTTTAGGTTGGGAATCCTTATTTACAATTTCTGTTAAAATAGCCCCAGTGTTGGTTGCCTCAGTATTCTCTGCTTCTACTCTTTATTCCGAATAAGTGAGAATAAATAATCATCTATTAAGGAATAAAGTGGTTCTGAACTTATATTCAGCAGAGCTCTTCCTCTGCGCTATTATCGCGATTTAATAATTGCTTAAAAATGTAAACTAATGCAAATCTTTTTATTTTTAAAACCGATTTCAAAAAAATATCTTATCCAAATTGGAAGTGCTAAAGTCAATTTTTGCCAAAAACAGTTTCGTTTGTAAGGAATTGATCCGATCCGTATTGGCTAGTGTTTATCTAACAATCTTCTAATATCATTTGGTGAAGAAATTTGACACAATAAGGCACAAAAAAGATAGGTAATCAAATAGTTAATTAACTTCGGTTGCTTTAATAAATGTCCAGGATCCATTCACTCTGTAAAACTTCTTCTTACAAATTAAATGCAATAATTTAGATCAGAAATCAAACAGAATGAATTATATCTCATGATATGAGAAGATGATGAAATAAAAGAATTCTTAACTTTGATGTTAAAGTAAAATATATTTAAGAAGTTGAAAATAAGACATACTAGCAATGGATGAAATCAATCAATGTAATGAAGTTGTCAACGGTTGTATATCTCAGCCTGACAGTAAGCGGTTATAATGCATTAATATAATCTCTTGGTCTTAACCGTCTAGAAATAAATCTTTCATTGATTGAAGTCGTTGAGTTTGTGCCCTCCTCATTCATCGTTTATATTCTCCGATCATATCTCAAACTTTTCCAATAGCAGGAAATTTAATTTTTTTTCAAAGCCAATCTGCTTTTAAAATATTATATAAAGATATGATTTCAGTTTTCACATTATTAGGATAAATATTTGCTTGAAAGAGTTACGAATGCAAATTAAATACTCCACTTTCAATTAACGCAAACAGTTTTACTTGGATAAGTAACTATTTTCTTCCGATAATTCTTTCGATAAAAATTTTGACGTTATCTTTATCTTCTAGTTCTCTAATATTCTTAAGTAAGATAATCAATCCCAATTCCACGATTTTATTAGAAAGTTTATATTAAAATGGGAAACACTTCCTGCTGAATTTATTTACATGGAACTGTGGTAATAATAAAGTCCACTATATAAACATTTTAGTTCACTTCAAACCCAGTATGTACAAATTTCTTTCATACAAAGTTACAAAATTTTGACGGTATGAGTACATAATGAAAGATCTATCTTACAGATACATGTAATATCTAAAAGCTGTTGAAAGTTTCTTGTATATTATTTTGAGCTGAAAGTTCTGAAAACTGTCTATATGTAATCAGGGGTCTAGTCCTTGGACCAAAATTTAACATAGCCAAATATCAATACCATTTCATCCGTGTTTGAGTTTTGCTTCATCGGTGAACCAACCATATGCATTGATGGTTTTCAAAATTTATTTTAATAGAAAGTTTGTTCACAATACTGAATTGTAACAACAAAGCCTTTTATTTATTTAGGTGAATTTAGGTAACTGACAACACTTCTGTCTCGAGAATTGTAATCTCAAATATTAGTGATTATTAGAAAAGTTTCTATGATTTGGTTATTGGTTGAACTTGTGTCCTACAAAATTTTAACTTTGGGGTGACGTTTATTAGCCAACTAACCTAAATCTGTATTTGACTTTTGCTATGCTAACCCGAAGTTAACTCCAATTGTTGTTGATGTTGACCAACAGATTCACTTGCTGTGTTATATTAAATTAAAATAGCTATGAAAAGCTATGGAACAATTACATATTTTTAAAATATAAATTTTTTAACAATATGGTAGCTTAGTAAGTGTTACTTATTTATAATTTGTGTAGTTAAATAGCTCAACTAAAGCCCGGTTAAATTAAATTGTATAAACAAATTGTAAGGACAGTTGGGATTTCACAATTCTCCAAACAACCGTGCGGTTAGTCAAAATTTATTTAACTCGTATTAAAGTTCCGATTAAGCTAAAGTTATTTCTTCAGTTGTAAACGTAAACATAAAGTTTTGTTAGTTTCAATATATGAGTAAACTCCTTCTTCACATTATTTATTAATGTGAATCATTATTATTTATTAATAATCACTTTGTATCTTTCAGTAATCTGTAACCATCATAAATTTTGCTCGTCGCTTCCCTACCTTTTTGCATTTCATCTCATAAAAAACTAATTTTCTCACAAAAATAAATTTTGTGCGAAGTCGAAAATATGAGTGCTCGAACTGGTGAATAGATGACTTCTCGATGTCATTGGAACATGGAAACCATGGAAGAATTCCTATTTAAAGTTAAAAAGGAATATGAAATGTCGTTTGCTTAATATGAAATTTACGAACATAAAACAATATTCGAATATATATGTATAAATATATATATGTATATATGTATTTGAAGTAATCTTTGATCAATTACATTACATGGTGGGTTACTGTTGATGACAATAACGGCATCTGACAACATCGCAAGTGCCAGTTGTAGTATTAGTATCCTTACTTATATCTGCTGAAAAAAGCAGACTGAGTTGAGTAATAAATCTAATTTTGTTGCAATTTCAATTTGAAAATTATGCTGTTATCTATAAATTTTAATCAATTGCAATTTATAACCATTTTACTGCCAATTTAAAGTACGTTTGGCAACAATTAGATATGCCCAGAGACCGAATTACATGAATGTCATTACATTTTTACATAATAAATCAAAAATTTGTGGTTATAAAAGTGATTTAAAGTAACCGAACGAGAGCATATTAAAAAAGTCCTGCATGTTTCCAGCACTTAAGAATGAAAGGTTGCAGTGCACACACCAGTATTTGAGATAGTCAACCTGCATGATGGTAAAGACGTTGTCAAGGCAACAAAAGCGATAAAAGCGGTATTTCAAAAATTGACCAAAGTCGCAAATTGTAGTCCTGCACATACGTTGGTGCTATTGTAATCCCTTATCAAAATTGCTACATGTGAGTAAATGGCCACATTTATCAACAGGATTAAGGCTTATGTGAGTCTATAAGTTTTTTCTTACTTTTGAATAATGGCAGCATGTCTCATAAGGGATTTATTACCTTACCTTAATGTTGCCCCAGCATTGGTGCATTGACAGCTGCATACATATGTGAATTGTGCTGTTATTCTGAACTCTAGCAGTTCAGAAGGTATTAGAGCTTAGTTAATTTGTGAACACGACACTGTTGCTATGGTTTCAGTAAACACAACAAAAAAAAATACTTAGCACTCACAGGCCAAACCTTTAATATAGGCACATTCGCGTATATAAAAAGCAAAGCTCAACGACACATACTGTGTATTGCATTTGAAAGTGTATTATATATCAGTTGTGATTCGTTGTCTAAGAAACAAAGAAATCATATGAAAATTTGAAGTCAACTTTTGATATTAACTGACATTCACGGTTTCAATGAAGAGTTTAAT